GGGGTGTATCTGTTGTTAAATTATCACATAATGGACATTTTCTGTCGAAATTGTGTCAGTTGTGTTGAAGGGTGTATCAGCACTGCTCATCGCTTTAACCCTTCTTAGGAATAGACGTTATAAAAATGCATACCATATTCATTACACTATTATTATTACAATTATGCAATACATGCATAAATTTGAATTCTCATTTTAATGCATTAACACAATACAAAAGGAATGCAAATACACAGTTTGCTTTCTTAAATCACTGTACATCTCAGCAATTATTGACAGATAAATTTTGTACATTATTAACATTTTCTACAGAGAAGGCAGCTCCAGATTGGGCCAGCAGTTGAATGCAGTGGGGTCCGCTTAAGCAGGAATTTGCGGGGCCGCTGGGTTTTCTTTGGCCTTGCTATACTGAGTTTTTGGTGTGGAGATGTTGCCATGATAAAAGGGGAAAAATTGAGGATTTTATTCTATTTCCTTTCGGTTTATCGCTATTTTCGGATTAACCCTGTTCGATTTAAGCGGACTTTGCTGTGATTACAAATACTTTTAAGTCTCAAAAAGACAGTAAACTGTCCCCGTGTCTATTTTCACTTCAGTATGAAAGAAAGTCTCTGTGAATAATCTAGTTTCCCATCAGTTGAAACTATGCTCCAATCTGTGAATATTTTTTTGAATTACACGAAACTAAAGGACTTCTAAAAACGGACAATGTTTTTGCAACATTATTTGCCTCAAAATTAGCTGTTCAACGTAAATGTTTCCTGCCAGACGTGGACAATATCTAAAACTTTGTCTGTGAAACTTTACAGGAATCCAGGCCTAAAATCTCCACTTTATATCCTGAATCAGAAATGTCATCGCACGGGTCTATTTTTGCTTCATCTTTATTGAGGTCAAGGAGAAGCTATATTCCAGCGTGGGTGATGTCACTGCAGCCATTGTTCCTGTATTTTCATCGTTCACAATTAATGCTACACTATAACTAGCTGGGTACCCGTTCAATAAACGGACTCAAAAGAACCGATCATCGTCAAGTCATTGTGGAACCAGTTCCGCACTGCTTGTGAACTGACGCCTCACTTGTTTACAATGGTGTCTTAGAAGACGGACTTTCCCCAAGATCAGATCTAAACGAAACTAGTGAAAAACTGAAAATTAAACTACAGTGACTTCAGACTCCTTAATTAATATAACTGTGCACCTTTTAAATGATTCTGAACCACCGTTATTTTTTTTCAAATTCGAAAGTTAAGTAGTTCGGAAGTTTTAGGCAACCGAAGTGATGACTTTCACAAATATAATATATATAGAGAGATAACAGATCAAATCGCTCTCAGCCACACTCAGCTGTCGTCTCGATTCTTGTTGTTGCCAATATATCGCGATTTTGCCATCGTTTTGACAGTTTGTCAACTTCGCGATTTTGCTACTATTTTGAGAGTTTGCCAATGTATCAATAATTTGGCCAACGTATCGCGATTTTGCCACTGTTTTGAAAGTTTGTTATTATTCGCGATTTTTTGGTCAATGTATCGCGATTTTGCCACTGTTTCCAGAGTTTGTGCAAAAGTTCTCCTTGCGCAATATTAGCCTACAATTTCACAATTTCGAAGTAGGCGGCGACGTCACTCTGCTTGTACCAGTAGTGGCTGCAGTGTTGGTGAACCCCCACACGCACGATGTCGTTGGGATTCAGGAAGATAAGACGGCTGTGGGAGGCACTGTCCAGGGCGTACTTCTCCGCATCAAAACCGTGGTGGAAAGACCGACCCCTAGACAGAGACGAGAAAGATAAGATAAGATAAGATACGATAAGATAAGATAAGATAAGATAATGCATGTACTTTATTATCCCAGAGGGAAATTTTTCTTGGCTGTACAGGACCGTAAAAATATGTACATCATTCAGGTTTACATAAAAACTCTAAATTATATATTATTACTCTCATTAAAATTCGGCATGAAAAGAGAGAGAAGTAAAGCTGACAAAATGTACATGTTACTTCAGAGAGTAACAAACACAAAAAAAGAAGCGAGAAAGATCAGGTCGATAGACGTTTGATCGAAACGAGCAAACCACACCAACGCACCTGCCCCGCCAACCAGCCGCTCTAAAACAGTAGATTGTATCTACCTTTTACATACAGAATCTCAAATACTCTTGGTGGGTGGTTGGCGGGTGCTCTGGTGTAGTTTATTCCTTCTTTGCTATTCGACATCTGTCGTCTTTATCTCCCATAGGTTTTACGCCCCAATCAACACGATTAGATTATTTTTTAGGCGGGACCATCTTCAAAAGGACCGAGCCGGATGTGAAATTCGTGTAAATAGTTTTCCCCAAAAAGACAGAACGTGGGTCCAAGATAAAGCTCACCCC